TTGATGAAAAACTAACGTTCTTGTCACATATCGAAAATGCTAGGATTTGTTATACGTAATAGAAAAGAATTTTCATCATTAAAGTCAATTAGCTCTATATATTATTCATTGGTCAGAAGCAAACTTGAATATTTAGCTCCATATGGAATCCTTGTCAGAGAAAATATATATATTGTATTGAAGCTGTACAGAAAAAGTTTCTGAAATTTCTTTATTTAAAAAAACATGGTTCTTACCCCATAAGAGAGTATAGCTATGATTTACTCTTGGATGAGTTCAGCTATACATCACTTAAAAAACGCCGCCAAATTAACGACTTGATTTTTATATACAAAATCATACATAATCAAATCGACTATTCTACTTTACTTTTATCATTGAATTTTAACGTTCCTCGTATAACTTCCAGGTCACAAATAACTTTTTACATCGTCGTACCTAACTCACAACACCACTTTCACTGTCCTTTGACATCTATGTGTAGAAGCTACAATAGTCTACAAAACATAGATATATTCTTCGTACCATTATCTCAGTTTAGGAAAGCAATATATAATGCACTACAGAACTGATATGTTACATGGTATGTAATGCTAATATATGTAGATTACGTTTTATGTGTAATTTTTGTTTTTCAGGACTAATATAAGCTTTTCATTTTGTATTATGTACTCCTGTAATTGGGTCTCGTGACCTGTTGGATGTATTTTCTAAATAAATAAATAAATAAATTATATGTCATGTTTTGACCAGGCACTTGGCAATGATAGTGCACTGTTAGACGTTGGTTTGCGAAATTTCGTTCCGATGAGTTTAGCCTCGAAGATGAGCCCCGAAGAAGAGCCCCGAAGTGGTCATCCTACAGAAATCCATGACGAGTATTTGAGGACCCTGGTGGAGACTGACCCATCAAAAACGGTGCGTTAGATGGCGGAAGAACTGGGCGTCAGCTCCCATGTGTTTTTTCATGATTTAAAACGTATTGAAACGGTCAGAAAGCTCGAAAAGTGGGTGCCCCACAATTTTAACGATCGACACAAATTGTCACGTTTCGAGGTCTGTTCTTTGCTTTTGCGTAACCAAAACGATCCTTTTTTGGATCGAATCTTCACGTGGATCCTCTACGACAACAGGAGACGTTCAAGACAGTGGTTGGACAACGATGAGCCACCCAGGCCCTTCCCAAAGGCGAAAACTCATAAAAAACATGGTATGTTGGTCAGCGGCTCGTTTGATCCATTATA